GAATAAAGATGAAATGACTGGAATAGAATTAATAGAACAGGAATATTATTGAGGCATCGGCTACGTGTCCGGTGTGCGCCCCACGTGTTCGATTCCCGGCCAGAATGCACAATTAGCAGGGTCCTTGGAGAGGCGTCCTAATGCCAACAGTAGTACGACACCTCCATATATCTGTAACCGTATCTTGTTCCCGCCGCGCTGTCCGAAGCATAACATCATTCTGAGACGAATTCTATGTTGTCAAAGTCAGGATCGACAGCTCAAGATTGAGCGGATTTCCTCAAGCGTCGAGTCCATTGAAGAAAGTGAATTGGACCGTTGAAACAACTTATATCCCGATATCTGTTGGATAAAAAACACGTATATGAAAACTCTTGAAAGGTTTACGGATTACTTAAACTCGGCCCCTTAGAATCGCTAAATATGCTGCACTCATTGCGCTCTCTCACTGTAACAGCGGTTACACGGCTTACTGCAACTCGCCGCTCCACCGTCACCACTCCCCTGGATAAGCCATGTATATCTTTGGTCATAAATCTGCCTAGTCCAGCGCATTCAAAGCTATGGTCACGTATCCAAATTATCCTGCATATGAACAGTAGCTGGGCGGCGTTATCTCGGAGAGTATAAACAAACCCCGGCTGTGTTTGAGTATAGAATATCAAAGCATGCCGGCTTATAGGCAGCTGCATGGCTATATTTCTAGCTATGGAAATTGCTAAAGGGATTGGCAATAACCATGTGAAGCCTTAGGAAGACTTCAGCATCTGAGACCTCCAGAAATACCTCGAGGATATCAAACTCTCAAAGGATCAAAGACTAGTGACCGTAAGCTATAGCTGTTTAAATTTTAATTATTTTACTTATTCACTTATTTATTTGTGGATAAAATCACGTCATAGAAAAAGAGTTGAACTAGCAAATCGTGCTTCCCCTGTTGCTAAAATGAAATCGTTCAGAGTTATGAGAGAGGACGAAGAGAGGGAAATAAAGGACGCAACTGTGATGAACTGATAAAGGGAATGGCTGTGCTGCTCGTACCGTAGCTGACAACCTACCATGATGAAATTTGAACATATAGGTCGTTGTCCGATGTTGGGTCATAAATTCTGCTGTCATCGCTTTTCTTCGAAACGCTCGTTTCACTGAGCAAACACCCATGAAGGTGCGTTCTCCTGTGTGCAGTGTTCTGATAGAAGGAAACGTAAAATGGCGTAAGATTTTAGAAAGTGTCTACAATCTTCACAGATTTTTACCCATTCGTGTTCTTCAATAGGAGTGCTTTTCCAGGTGAAAATGAAAACAATAGTGCTATTCATCCTAAATCAATCCCTTTCTGAACGCGCCACGCATTATTCCCACTAAAAAACGTGATGCCATTTGAATGCGATTTGGCTTGTGCAATGTTTACCGGGTGCAACGCCAGTTTTTGGTCATCCCAGACAGATCAGATTAGAACCAGCCGACCTTGAAGCTATGGAATGCTTGGTTAACCCAGGCGAAATGTCATCCAAAATTCGACTCCCTAACCGTGCCAGTATTGAGGCGTCACTCGCCACATACCACTTCCGCGCTGCGCAGAGAGCCCTTTTATAAGTGTTCACTCTGACACTTTTTTCCCCACTTAAGATGGAGCCCTGCCCAAACTGTTGGCCTGGTGTCAGAGTCCGCGATCCGTCGCAGGTTTCGCTGATTTTCGCGGTTTGCGCGATTTTCGCGAACCTGCGACCATCCTTCGCCGAAAACTGCAGATCGGATCGAGCACAGTTGAAGGTGCACTATTTGATCATTTGACCCACTGAATATCGAATAAAATGGGAGATTCAGAGTAGATTATACGTCATTATGAGATCAGACATATCAAGCAAAACTGAAGGCGGCGAGAACACTTCTGCAGTATGCTGAGTGTCAGACTTTGCGAATCGCGGCGACTCGCTAGGTTTGCTGTCGGTGCGGGTATTATAGCCATGTGTGAATTCACTGGCGCGGACGCGACCCGGAGAAGGGGTCGCCGATCAGCTAAGGCGAATCGCGCGCGTTCGCAACCTGACATGGCCTTATTGATCGCAAACTTGTATTCCGTGCTCGACGGTGATTCGCGCAAAATCGCGAAATCAGTGAACCTACAACGGATCGGAGAATTCTGACCCCAAGCTTAGCTCACTTCTTTCGATATCTTGCATAACCATCGCAGGGTCAGATTCCCACATATTTTAAGAGTCCCTATGTCAATATAGACGAGACACATTTTATAAATTCTAGAAGCTGATCAGCACATACATCTCGAATGCCAAGTGCCATACGCGACTCTTTATAACAGGCAGGCATGGCCAAAAAAAAAGTCACTCTGACTCACATTCACATTAAACAGAATCATAATTACAACATTGCCGAATATTATAAACCGAATGACTCTGTATGCTATGTTGAAAACCACAATTGCTAAAATTTCTAACAATAACAAAAACATTGAAGGAGCTCCTCTAGGCGACCATCTGCAGATTAAATTTTCCCCAGAGATAACGGAAACATGGATTCCGGGATAGAACTCAAGAATGTCCTCCCGGCCTTGTTCATAAATCGATATTGCGACGATATAAACGTCTCCTAAACGCCTTTTGGGCCACTATTATTCAAAAGCCATCTTGCACATTCAGAGCTAGTCTCCCTAAGAAGTCATTCACCAGTTATCGATTGAAGAATTTATGTAGCAGCTTCAGAATGGAGCGATTATGTAGGCCTCCTTAAGCTCGACGGTGATGACAGATGACGTCATATTCTGGAGACGGTGAACGCAGCGAAGGTGGGCCTGATTCTGCTTATGGGGGGACATCTAAGGAATAATTTCGCCGTATAACTCCCAATAACAGCGGCATCCTTTTGCGACAAATAAGTTTGAATGATATGTCACCATGGCAGAGTTAACTTTTTCTGTGGCCCGCTCCCCCCTGTACATTGATGTTAATGTTCTTTTACACTAACGCAAATGACAACTGCTACCCTGCAATTGTAAATCTAGTGCTGTAGGAAAGTAAACCGGCATTGTAAAGTAGCAGTGTCTCAGAACATTAATGAATTTCATACTTACTTGAGAAATAAAAGAGGTATAGTACAGAGGCTTTTGTCCCGCTGACCAATACTCCCATTTTTTGGAATGCGTGCAAGCGCATCCTGCTGTCCTCCTACACGTGCGTGTATTTTTGCATAATCCAATTACTTGTGGGCCCTCATGAAATCTGTAAAGTCGTGTTTTTTTTTATTTTTCTCACAACTTTTATCACCTCAGGTCATTTTCTGCGATCTGACCTCACAATGCGGAGGCAATAGATATTATTGATCGGGATCGTCCGACTACCTGATTGTAGCTCATGTTTTGAAAACATATTTCCTACCATCAAGAAATTATGTAACTAGTAATAAGTATTTAGTTGCAGCAAACTTCAAATAAGCATCAACTCAGCCTGAGAAAAGATCGTCAAATAACAAGATTGTAACAAACAAGAAAACAATATCCTAAAACCTCTTGGTCACGGTGGAAGACCACTGCTAATATATACACCATTAAAAATTTGAAACAAAACATATTTTAAGAGACGAACTTGACTGAGTTCACCATGCACCAATATTTTTATGCTAGTGCTTCAATTCGCCTTCAAAACTTTCTCATCTTCTTTTGAACTCCGTTGTTGCGCCTTCCTTTTTCTCATTTTCTTCTTCTCTGCACTATGTTGATTTTCACTTTACCTAAACAGAACAACTGAACAACTGGCTACGCAAGAAACTTTGAACAAATGCTTTCCTACATGAACACTCCTTTTCATGTATGACAGGTGACGGATCCTCAGTTAATTTTGCTTTCACATTCATCGCTTCAAGACATTCTTCCTCCCCTGTAACAAACACCATGTTCAGACTGTTAGAAGGACATAACTAAACAAAGTTCTCGATATACACCCGATCAAAAAAAAACCCAACCGCCTACTTTCTCCTCAACGACCAACACAGCTCCTAAAGCATCGAGTCCAATCTGACCATAAGTACATGCCAAGTAGGTCTTCAAGCATTTCAGTCCCATCTAAAACCACTAAATCACCATATGACACAGAAAGTTCAGAAGCCAGAATGTCACAGAAAAATCGTAGAGAACGATCAATTTTACCAAAAAATATAGCAAAAAATATTTTTTATCCACTCCGCGACTGTCTATACAACAAAGGAAACTATGAGATAGCGGAGAAAGAGAAGAAATTACAAAAGAATGTTGAAAATGAGTCAGCGAAAGCTGCGTTGAACGAATGGAAGAAGCAAAGCTTCAAAGGACGTCTAGTTTTTGGCGCCCGTCCACACCATTTAGCTTCATCTCCCATACTACATAGGGATTCGAAGGAGTCAAGTCGAGATGCAAAGGATGGACGATATCACATAGATTGTCGCGGAAACTATATTTGTACGGTGTTAGCTCTTTGCATAGTTGCCGTGTAGTTAAAAATATTGAAATCGAACCCAAGTTTTCACCTGAATTTGTGTACACCTCCTCTCTGGAGAATTCATCAGCAACATCTGATGACGACTATCGATTCATTTGCCGGTCCTAACCGTTTCAGAAATACTGTGACTACTACAGATAGCATCTTGAATATAGTATTTTCCGCCAACCTTTCAGCAAAAAAATGGTTACTTCTATAGTCCTCCGATAAGACACATCCTACAAGCGTGCTTTTGTTGACATCTACTTTCTATCGTACCTGCCCTCACAAATAAATAATCTTTTCTGACTGACAAACAAAATAAGGAAAAAATTCTGAGATATCATACAGTGTATTGAATAATATAATAGAATCACAAATACCTGATGCACAACGTGGAACTTTGTAGGGTCATGCTTGAGCGCCCATTTTCCATACAAAACCACTGCTCTCTATTCTACCAGAAAACGCCGTCTTTCCATGACGATGTTTTGATGAAAAACCAGCTAAACATTGCAGCCTGTTCAGGCGCTATCACTTTCCTTTCCGGTAACAAGCGGCAATAGAAATTCGACCCCTGCATAGTGAACTTTACGAAGTACCAATTCAGAAGAAACTCGAGCTGTCATTGAAACACTATATCATAGATCTCAAAAACAAATAACTGCAGAAACAAGTCATTGAGGAAAACCTCACTTATTCATTTCCCGACATAATAACATATTGTGAACTATAGCTATCATTAAAGGAAAAATTATTTCTGATGTCTTTGCTTTGTACATGCTGTTTCAACGTGCCCTGGACTCGCGTATGCGAATAGTCTACGACTAGTGGATTTACCTCATGACTAAACTTCAGCCAGCCCGTTCATGCCGATTTCAGCTTACTCGCTCATCACGTTGGACGTAAAATGTTGATAAACTGTGGTGTATATACATGCAAAGCAAATATAGGGTGGAACAGGGCCCCGGTATCGTAACTTGTAGCGCACTATCCCCGTAAGCGAGGGGTGCGGATTCGAGCCTCGCCCCGGCCTATAAAGTTGCGACCCACCTATAAGTTAGTGCTCTTGTAACGAAAGATATCATTGCTCCAGCCTCGGGCAAAAGTTGATATATAAGTTAGTATTCTTGTGAAACAGAAAGTATACTCAAGAAACATAACAAATGATAACTAAGTTCAATACATACCTGTTTGGTTTGCTATTGACTAGTTCCATTATTCTCTCCTTCAATCGCTCAGTCGTTAGTTTTCCCTCATCGAAGAGCTCATAAAGATACTCTATCAATAATATCTTGATTTTTGAAGCAACACCTGCATTCGCATACTTCAGTGCATCTTTGAATGTCTGAAAGAAAAGCTCGAAGAAAGAAATATGCAGGAGTGATCACCAAATTCGATGTATTTTGCTGCGACATCTAAAGTGTAGAACTACAATACATTCAGAATGGAATAGCTCAAATCCCATTACTCTGGCAATCAGCAAGAATCTTACAGAAAGGAAAGAGAAAAGGAAAAAATTGAAAATATGAGCAAATTCTTTCAAAAAATACCTGTTCGGTTTCGTTAGGAGCATGTATGATGGTGTAATCAATGGCATGTTGCCAAATTGGATAGCTTTCGTCTGGATCCACCTTAATATGAAAATTACAACCAAATAAGAGCCACTACGACAACAACTAACTACCTTTTCTAATGCACGATTACACGACGCCCTAAAGTCATCTGAAGACATGTGAGCACTATCCACACATTTCTCAAGGTACACATCCCACATCACAACAGACTGAGGCCTTTTCTGAAATATAATTCATCTGAAGGGAATCTCATCTTCGTCAACTACAGTTTTTGAAGAGTTTACCTCAAGACATTTCGCGATAAACTCATTGTCGAATTCCTCTGGGAAATCGCGTATAATCCTCTCCATCTCTATCCAATCCTTATCATTCATCCATCCGCCGTCGCACAGACCACGGAATACATCGTGAATTTTTACCTCGACAAATGCATCTAAATTTTTTTAATATGTGCTGGAAATATAGCTATCAGCACTCAATTCCTTCACTGACCGAAAAACAGATATAGGAAGTGTTGAGGATTTTACCGAAATTGAAAAAACACCTTTAGTTTCTGAGTCACGAAGCCACTGCAAGTACAACCGATGCATCCTCTCCGTAGGTGTCTTCTTTATCGCGTCTTCAAACAATTCGAATTTCGACTGCAAATAAGTGATCATGAGTCAAACTTCAACTTCACAGAAGAATGTCTGAGTACCTTTCCACTAACAGCAGCCAGCTCGATTTCAAACAAACGAGTGTCTTCGTTATCAAACTTGTTGAGCTCATCCACAATGAATGAGCGTACTTTCTCAATATTGGGTATTTCCACTTTGTTACACTCCTTCCACATTTCCACGAGCATGCCTAAATTGCACTTGAAATGAACACCTCCATCGCATGTTCGTAGCAAACAAAAAGAATTATTTCAAAGAAGCAGCAATCTGTGATCGTGAACTCATGGTTGTGGTTCACTAGGACAGAAAGCGACTGTTTCGTGTTTCGCAGCGCGAAACATTCTGCGGGAACCTCGGTCCACTGATGATCAGAGGTGGACCTGAGGTTCCGCAGCGAAAAATGTTTCGCGCTGCGAACTGTCGTAAGTGAACCAGACCCTAACCATCGCGTTCGTTAAAGCTATTGGCTAAGTAGTAAAGAATACCGAGGAGTTTACACATAACAATAACCGTTACCTCAATTCGCCAGCCCACCAACCTACAACTGCACTACTGGTACAGCAACAACGCCTGCAACAACTGCTTTGACGACATCCAAATTCATTATGGTGTCGTCCACTTCCTCATCGTACACACCTATTTTGATGCACATTCAAAGTAAAGTGACGATAAGAAGTCGTAATGAAATCGCTCACGTTCAGAATCATCCTCGGCCGACCCAGCACCGCGTTCATCTTCTCCTTCAGTAATGAATTTCCGACGTTTCAGCACCCTATTAAAGGTCAATGAAAACGAATTAAAATGTACAATAGAGTGCAAACAACCACTAAAACCTACTTATCAACAAAATTGATTTCAATAATGAAGAAAGCCAACGTAAGCATGGACGACTGCGGCAACAAACGTAATGAGGTCAAGACCTGCGTACGAGCATTCTGTGGACTTGCACCAGAAAAGAACTGCCAAAGAGCGAAATCTCTTCGGAGTTTTTCGTTCTTTCCATGTATCTAAATAAGAAACAGGTAAAAGATAACCTACTGATAAAGCATTTGCCGTTGATCAATCCCTTTGGAGATGCGGCACGCATTCTACTTCCATTTGTACATTCGTAGTGGCGTTTGAATGCGATGTGGCCTATACAATGACTTGCGGGGGCCAGCCGATGTACAAGTCAGTGTTTTTATCCTCCCAGACAAGTATGCACTCACTTAGCCGACCACGAAGGGATGGAAGGCTTGGATGGCACGGCCGACCCACGACACAGGTTTGACCCCCGAAGCGCTCGCGTGGTAAGCGTGCCACTACACCACTTACGCACTAAGAAACAGAACAATCGAGAAAGATGTTGTGAACTCGAGAATAGGTGAAATTCAAGCTATAAAGGTTATATGTTACATGAACCCCGCTCCAAGAGTTCCCCTTACTCTCTGCAATCTAGCATCAATGCAATTTCTTGGCGCTCCAATAGCAGAACCGAAATCCCACACTATTGCATAATCACTGCCTCAAAAGCTTACACAAAATTAAAAAATCGTTGAAACCTCAGCTATAGGAATTGTGCACCAACGTCACATGAGAGCACGCCATACTCTTGTCACGACATCCCCAAAATTCCAATTAGAAATCACGACCTACACGCAAAAAAGTTAAGGCATCAAATCGACGAAAATGGCACCAACTGGTCTCAGGAGGCCAACCAACTGGTCTCAGGAGGTCTCTCAAATCAAAGGCCATGTTCCCTAAGTTGTCCGATAATCTCCTTTGATATGAGATGAACCTCCCCAGTTTTTGCAGTTAATGTTCAACAGCGCCCAAAAACCGGTGCCAAGCAGACTACTGAAAAATCTATGAGGTCACTGACTTCATGAAGCACCAATCCATCCCCCACCGCTAGTCCCGTGTAACAGCATCACACCTTTTTTATAGCCATTTCTGAAAATAATATTCAGGAAGCAGCGCCAGCTATTAGCCAATAGTACTGGTCAAGTGCCATCACCTTAAAAAGCTTAGGCCCATAAAGGAGATGATATGATCCCCGAGAATGAGTTAACGCTAAAAACATGAGAAATGCTTACCTGTAGAGCTCTTGTGTATGCACACCGCAATTCACAGACGCATTGAATTCTCATCCCAGAACACAAGTTGTCTAGCTTTTCCCAATACCGCAATCCCCCCTAAACTTCTGAACAGTCCTAATATGTCCACGCTGTTTCTTCAGATAGGCTTAGAACACATAATCTTCACACGCAATATGGCCCGCGACATAGTCGTACTCAGGAGATTAGGATAGCAGGCGATTAGGATAGTAGATAGAAGTGGAGCAGGAAGATTGCGCTGACAATATTGATTATTGACACGTATCGATTGAAATCGCTGGAGAGTAGTAGATTGGGCGACTTCAAGCGAATAGATCAATACATATCTAATCTTGTCAGCGCACTATCCTAATCTACTACTATCCTAATCTCCTACTCTACTACTATCCTACTATCGTAATATCGCAATCTACTACTCTCCAGCGATCCAATCGAACCACCTGACTTTCAAGCCTACTATCCATTCTCCCTCGATATATCATGTTTTCCATTGTCTTACTCTCTCTAATCTGGAGTCGCGAACTATGAGCGGCCTGGCTTTACACTGCACCCCACCCACAATGGCGTCACCCCATGCACAAGACAAAGAAAATCAAAAAATCTACCTGAAATCGATCAGCCGCCCTCCTGTATATGCTGGCAACTTTCTTTTTCATAGACATCACATGAGTTCTTCTCTCCAAAAGCTGCAATTTTCCTCGGCGACTCATCACATGTCAGGACAGTCGCAGGAGAATAAATCGCGTAGAATTGAACCAGTCGCGAGATTTCTCCTAACGCCGAAAGAAGAAACAACCACAGCCAATTTCGAAACCAAATGAAATCACCAAAATATCTCAAGCACCACACCATTACTGTCGTCTACCTTCCCCCAACATTAACAAAACAAGATGACGAAAAAAAACAGAAGCGAGCCCGGGGAGAACGCTTGAAAGAAATAAACTCACAACATCTTATTTAGACGATCGAATTGTCGACATCCGCTTAATGAAACGTTGACCTAGCCTCCATTATATAAGCTGATCTACTGAAGTTGCCTCATAGTGCCCGCAAACTTCCGAGACTAATTTCATCGAATTCCACCCATTATCATCAAATGCCCAAGTGTTACTAGAAAATGCATAAAAAACTTCTCATTATGCACCGTTTGTGAAATACCTCAAAACATAAGGGCCACGTTCTGCACTATTACTGCTTCAAAATCCCAAAGATCCTATTTTCGCTGAACTTAGCTATCAACTGTAGTAATTCGATGCCCTGATTACAGCATCGCATGCATCACTTTTGATGCTGTTGCGCCACCTTTCACACGTACGTTTCCACAAAAGTTCGGTAAAGGGCGCCCTATCTAACGCGTATCTGCTCCCTAACTCTTCCACTGTGCTTAAGACTAAGCTTATAGGAGAAGGAAGAACCCCAGGTGGGTAAACCACGCAGCATGCGACGAAAGTTGAAATGTGTGATATCAAAGTGAATGCTCACCACTCCCTAGGGGTTTCTATTCCCCATGTCCTTGGGCTTGATATCATCAACCCAGTGAGCGAGTGCAGAGGAGCAGAAAATGGGCGCCAAATGGCGCGCAAAAATTAATGTCCATATTCGTAATCAGGGACACCAAATAACCCCTATGTACAAGTTTACACCGAATTTCATGGAAACAGCCGACGTGACAAGGTGGCACCAACATCAAAAATGAGTGCCGCGATCAAGGCATCTAATTACCACTATGGGCCAAAGGCGCAATATGGCTCGGGGGGGGGGGGGGAGGGCAGTCGCCACGCGCGAACTGCGTTTTTCTGTGTAAGCATTTCCTCTTCGCTAAATCGGGACTAAGCCTCGGGCAGGGGAGGAGGAACTCCAGGATCATAGCAATTTTCATCTTCCCAAAGTTCCTGCCCACTCCTAGGCTTAGTACTACAGGGCGCGGACGAGCAGAGATCGCGCGCGGCGATTGGCCCCACTCGAGCCACATTGCGCCTGAGCAAAGTTTCGACGAAAAATAAAGTTTTGAAATCTTGGCAGTATTAGTGGAACGGTGCCGAACAACGTTCTTCAGTGACAAAGTGTAAAATACATACAATGTGAAGGCAGTTAAAATGTGCGGCATCGCTCTCCGTGCTTGCCGGTTGTATGCGATTGCGTACTGCAAGTAACCACCGTAACCTTACGCTTAGTTTTATTCGTCGATGGTGGAGTTGCGATGGATTCCGTGGGTTTCAATTCTTGCCAATCTTTTTATGAACCAACCCCAACTAGACCAAGTCGTTTCGATCTGTTCCAAAGCAGAATTGTCGCCTTAGTACACTTTAGTACTCAATTTGGTGCTAACACAGCCCGAGGGGGGAGGACAGCTCGGCGCCGCGGCCTTCTGTTCGTCGGCACCGTTAGGTGTGGTGCCACTGTATTTCGTTACGCCACAGTGCGGCGAGTGGTAAGGGCCCCCATAACTAGGCCTTAGGGATGCAAACGAACAGAAGGCCGCGCCCCGCGTTCTCTCCCTCCTTGTCAAAAGCTTCCTTCTAAAGAAAGTTATAGTCATTGAAAGCCAAAAAACCCGGTTGTGCACAAAAACGGTCCAACGGGCGTTTTTTTGAAGAAATGAAACTTTACAAAAGTTGAGTACTTTTTAGAAAGAAAACAATCTGGAGTTTCAAAATTTTCTTACCACTTCTCACACTTTCTTATTTGAAGAAAATTACAACCTTTCAAATGAAGAAGTGCGCATTTCTGCGAATTCTTAATTCTCTACCCCATAACTGAAAGACCACGGATCTCTTTCACTGAGGGTCCTCTCTCACTGAAAGATCTCGAGCCGGTTGGTGGCGAGGCTACGTGGCGCGACCCCAGGTGGCGGATAGGGGGTAAATCGCGGACCAAAAGCCACCATGTACTTGCCCTGAGACGCAGGTGGATTCAGGGGATGGACTCCCTGTTTCTGTAGTGCTGTGTTGATTCATACCAGCTGTCTCCACTCAGGCGTATCCATGCATGCTTGCGTGTGTGGTGCGCTCTGTGTGTGTGCGGTTGGTATCCTGCATGTCGGCACAGCCAAAAGCTTGCATTCAAGTGACTGGGAAGTACATGGGAGGCGATTCGGGGCCGCCTCCAAAAAATAAGCCCCTTGTTCCGCTCCAGCGTGGCTAACTACCTGGAGGTCTATCCTAGCCCACACGACAGAGCCTGGCAAGCTACTCGTGTGCCTTCAATATGCCGAAAACAGCAATATGGATGGGCCTCATTCCCCTGAACCTGAGGGAGCCCCCATTACGGCAGCGTTGGGTAGGACCG